ATGCTACAATTAAAAGCAATCGACGCGAAGAACACAGATGAATGGCAAACGCAAACGAACAATCGATGAGTCGAAAGGGAGTACGGAGGTTCGCCGCACGACTCGCAATCGGTGGTGGCCTCCGGCGTTCGACTAGACTAAAGAAGGAGAAGGATCGAAGCAGCAAGGTGGCTGTGACCTCGGACGAGAAGGGAGAGACGAAGCAGCGGGGCTGCTCGTCTCCTGTCTTGGAAGTAGTTGCGAAGGGGAAAGACGTCCGAAGGAGGTCTGCGAGGCGTCACGAGCAGCAACAGCGACGATGACGGGGTGTTTGGTGGGTTTGCTCGACGGGAGGGGAAGAGGAGGGTGCGAGGGTTCGGTTGTCGGTCTCGGTGGTGCTGCGATGAGGCTAGTTGAGACCGGTGGTTTCGAGTTTTCAGTCGTATGGGTGGTGGAGGGCAGTTCGATCGTCGCGGTTTATTGATTCGGGAAAGGCAGCAGCTATCAACACAGGTAAGGGTCCCTCTTTTTTTTTGGTTCGTCTTTTATAGATATCGATGGAAGAAACCAAATGGATGTGGTTTGTGACAGGAAACCGATAGGCTCAAGTGGATGTTTGGCTTTGGTTCTTGACAGGAAAGAAGGAAGGACGAGGGATGCTGCTACTCCATGGCATAACTCTATGGTAAAATTTTATTTTATTTTATTTTATTTATTATTTTTTTTCTGTGATTTTATTGTTCAACAGATATTGAATGGAAGTATTTATGAGTATAAAACCATACTTGTATAAACATTCGTATATGTAGTTTTTGTGGACGTGTTGAGTATATGACTGGCTTTTTATTGACAGGAATTGAAGAATGAGAAAGGATGCGAGGGGGATCCTGACAGCTTCAGCTAAAACAAGGAACACGTTATGTGTGTGGTTATCCTTGTGTATAGATGTGTATAAAAAGATGTTTATTTTGGTGTGTAAAATTGTATAAGCCTTTGCCTTTGTGTGTTGTTTTAGATGGGGAAGATTTGGCAGTTGTCTTTAATTTATAATATGTGTATTTTGTGTGAAATTTGTAAATAATGAATTTTCCTATGTATTATGTGTATATGATTTGTACAATTGATTTAATGGATATGTATTTAGTTGAATTTGGGTATGCATTGATGTATATGCGTGTTATATACATGTATGTATTTATGTAGGTCTTTATAAACAATTCCTTTATATGCATGTTATATACATGTATGTATTTATGTATTTGTAAAAAAATCACTTTTATGACAATTTTAGTGAATATCAACAAAATCATCATAAAAATGAATCATCGAAATGTTTTTTCGGGATTTTTTTGACGAATCATGTTATTATTGATTCATTTGTTTTGTTCGCCAAAAAAAAAGTCGCAAATTTTTTTTTTACCTTCCTACAAAAAAAAATTTCTTACCGGATATACATATATATATATATATATATATATATATATATATATATATATATATATATATATATATAGTATAAGGGTTGAATTGAATTTTAATGTATGAGACATTTCATGTTCCATAACTCGAGGACAAGTTATGCAGGACATTAAAATTCATCTAGATCATTTTGCTAACAACTAAAAGTATCACATAATCTATGATCTAAATTCATAATCAAGATAATTTCAAGTCAACACTTTGAAAGCAATTTTGTTTATCATATAACACAACAATTATTTTAAAACTTTGACAATTATATTGTGGTTGGATGATTAAAAGCACAACCATATCATAAAAAACATTTCCCTTGATCCAAAAGAGTTTGTGGTAGTGTTCCCAATCCAAACCAGGCAAAGAAACTCGAAATTCTGCAAACAGAGCCTTCAAGTCATCGAGTGCATGAACGGACTCACCGTGTTACTTTTGTTACTGAGTGGACTCGTCGAGTCTGTTCATGGTCTTGGCGAGTTCACCAATCAGAGGCCAAAATTTCGACTTTTTCAGCTTTGAAAAACTAGTAAGAATCAAATATAATAGAAAACAATCCTAGACTCTGATACCACTATTGAGTTTTGAGCACTACAACACTCCTATGGTGCACATGCAACTTTAAATTCTTTGGATCTATGTTTTCTCTAATTTGACATGCATTTTCAATTTTTCCAAAGCATTCTCCCTAGCTAGCATACAATTGAAGCTATACAATATAAACCTAGTTTGGATGCATACCTCTTGAGTAGGGTAGAGTTCTTGACCTTTGAAAGCTTGAGCACCTCAAATGTGATGCCTCTAATGGTTCACAATCACCAAATGCAAGAGGAGGCTTTAGAGAATAGGTTACCTGGCACGAAATCAACTCACTCTCTTGAAAAGTATGTGGTTAGCCAATTTTAGCTCTAGGGGTGAGTATTTATAATGTGGCAAATGCTAGGGTTACACATTGTAAACCCTAATGACCCTTCATATACTTAGGCTCCATGGGTTAACCTCCATGGATTATCTCAATGGTTTAGACCATCCTAAATAACTATGGATCGTTAGCCCACATTATAAGAATGATTTATTTACACAATCAATTCCTACATATTTAATTAATCTCTTTTGATCACAAAATTAATTCCAAATTAATTATTGACCAATACTAATTAAATAATATAATTTCTCAATTAATATATTATACTATAATATAATAATAAATCATAAATAACCTTCTTCTCAAAAGTCCATCCTATCAAATTGCACTGATGAAGGCAACCCAAAAGGACCATGCTACAATCGGGTCAAGTACATCCCAGTTATAGCTATGAGCTTAAACACTAAATCCAACATATTTATCGTGTGACAAGAAGGACTGCTCATCCAACGTCACACGAGCGAAATCATTACAAGGAGGCAACCAGGGAGTTTTCATAAACAAGGCTCATAACCTTTCTCCTAAAACATGTTCATCAATTACATTATAGAAAACATACAAAAGAACATGTGACATGAGTGTAGAAGGGTCATAACCTTCCACTAATGAGAAAAACAAACCGGGTGAGCCTTAAGAAGATGATCTTGGCTACACCTAGGGTCTTTAAGCAACAAATTAGTATAAATTTCTCAAAGACCAACATTACTAAAGAATAAAGACTTCACCAATAACAAAACCCAAACCAGGGGTACAACAAAACCATGCGTAAATACTATGTGGTGGCCAACATAAGCCATACACAAATCAACCGAACAACAAGAATATATACTGTAGTGAAAGACATTCATACCGAATAATTAAACGTAAACATTGTCAGATTGCTGGACTCCTGTACTTTCAGGATGCCACTGAGGGCAACAAAGACAAAAGACAAAGCAAGAAATAGAAAACAATTTTCACAAAAGTTACATCAAAATAAATCAAATAAATAGAGCTACTTGTGGGCAGGGGTGTTACCATCACAGAATGAAGAACTTGGGCCAGGGCTAGACCCATTGCTCTGAGTGTCTTGTCAAAGATCGCAGAGCCCGGCTATGTCCAGACTGCCCATGCAGAGATAGCCAGTGAAACTTTTTTAGTAAAAGTTACGATGACAACTTCCATCTCTTGGGTCTTAGTAGCCATGCCCACCTCAACCTCCGGATTAAACTCCTCAGAAGTCACCCACTCTTTCGTAACTCTCTTTCCCTACTCCACCCATGCCGCCACACAAGTCGCCCGCACCTGAACCAAGCCTTGGAGAAATTAAGGGATCTCGATCACCTTGTCCACCACCCGGCTGAGCTCGTCGCTGAGGATCCATTAAATATCCTTCTCCAATGCTCCCTTTGCAGCATTCTTAGCAACCAGATCAACCTCTAGTTCTATCGTCTGCTTGCTCAAACCGGAATTCTCAAAACTTTGGGCTCCCATGCAATCACTCAAGTCCCTCACTTCTTCTTCCAGCTTTGCCACTTGCCCTTTTAAGCTTTCCTTCTCAAGCAGTGTCACCTCCTACTTGGCCTCCCAACTACACTTGTCGTCTTCTATCTTGGCCACCTGCGCTTTTAGCTTTGCACATTCAATGCTCTTTCTTCCAGAATCAGACTGGATGGTCTCCATCTCGGAGATAAGTTCAACATTTGCGACCAAGTAATATAACACTTGGGCAGTGGTGTAATGCATGCCTTGGGCTATGTGCTCATCTGACAAGACAGTTAAGGCCTCAATTGTAGCAGGAGGAAAAGCATACCAAAACCACTCAAGAGCGGTATGGTGATCAGAGACAAGTTCTTGGGAAGTTAGCCTCCAAGCTGGCTTGTAGGCATCTCGTTGAGATCCTACAAAAAGGGGGATGGTAGCGGTTTTACCAGAAGAAGTTCATGTGAGACCTTGGGAAGGCGAAGATCCAGACTTCGCCTCAGCTCCTCCTTTCGTGGAACAGGTCTTGTCTTGTCGGTGTTTTCTTCTTCCGTATGACAGGGCGGTTCAGTCGCCCTGATTTGTGCCCCCCCCTCCAACAGTTTCGGAGGACTTTCATCTGGGGCACGGTTAGAATCCTTGGTACCCCCCTAGCAAGAAACTGAGATTACGTTTCTTACGAAGAGGGGGCCCAGTGTTGACCGTCTCAATTCGACCGTCGGAAGAGGCTTCTAAGAAAGCAAAACGCCTCTTGACACGGTGAAGACTCCTTAGGGATCCAGAAGGTGTAGGATCCTTATGAGAAACACCAATGACAACAATGTCCTGCAGATATGGATCCTTGCTGGTGCTGGTAACACTATCAGAATCGACAGTAGCCTCGATCCCTCAGCCATAAATAGGGGGTGGAAGAGCCTCCACAAGATCGACGTCACAACATTGAAGCTTGCCGTCGAATAGACCCCGAAGAGCTTTCTCTAAATAAACAACCTCTTCCACACCTGGAAACAAAACAAAATACAACGACGATTAACCAAAATGTCGATTTAAACGCGCTTTGCTTATTTTAATAAAAAAGGAGGGGGAAGGGGAAGAGGAGCAAGAGAAATACCCTCTTTCCCGATGAAAAACTCAAGCATTTTCCCACGAGCCCTCCAAGCGGCGCTCACTCCACCGACGGCCAAGAAGCAGTCAAACCAATCCTCACCATTGATGTTGAGGGAGGGGGAAGAGGAGCAAGAGAAATACCCTCTTTCTCGATGAAAAACTCGGGAATTTTCCCACGAGCCCTCCAATCGACGCTCACTCCGCCGGCAGCCAAGAAGCAGTCAAGCCAATCCTCATCATTGATGTTGATCTTCTCTAGGACATCAGCCAGTTCCTTGTCAGCACCAAAAAGTGTGGGAGTGTGGTGGACGTACACCTTAACCCTCGAGTAGCTGAGCACCACGAGATCGCTGTTAACCGATAAGAACTTCTACTACCAGTTCTTCTTGGACTTCTTATCATGGATAAGAGTAAGGACTCCCTGCTGATGAGAAAGGGTTCGAGTCCCCGACTGAGTAGAGGCATTAAAGAAGTGCTTGAAAGTCAGAACAGTCGGCAGGCGGCCTAGGGCACGATGGATGAGTTCAAAACCCACTATCTTGTTTATAGTGATAGGGGTCAGCTCTCTCACGGAAAACACATATTCCCGGATAATTAGGTTGAAGAAATTTGTGGTAGGAAAGTGCAGACCTGCCTTGAACAAGGCGATTGGGATGTCGACTTTTCCCTTGGGAGGACTGTAAAGCGATGCATCAGGTAGAGGGATTTGCACTCTATGTTTGGGAATGAACCCAAACCGGAACTCTGAAGATTCCCATTCTTCGGTGGTGAGATCCCTTCCCAAAGAACGAGCGACAGCCATGGAAAAATATGAAGAAAAGGTTGAAAGGGTATCTTTGAAACAAGAAGTCGAAGAGAGAAAAGTGGAAGGTAAGGAGGAAACGCCAGGAGGGATAGAGGTTTAAATGCCACAAAAGGGGCAGCGAACCGTTTTCATGATGAAACCACCGAAGAACGGCGATTTCGCCCTGCCAACTGTAAAGGCTATCAGTAGCAGCCTGCCACGTGTATGTGAGTACCAGAACAACTCTGCTACGTCATGTACGCAGAAACCTACTAGTCTAAGGCACTTGTCAACGTTACCATAAACAGCTACGTTAAATGTAACACAAAGAATAAATGAGACGTTATCTCGTCAGGAACTTGGCCAAGGCCCAGTCTTGGCCTAAGCAATCCAGCACCGAGGTGACAGTTTATTTCCCTCTACGAGGGATAAATATCCCTCGTGATCTTCTCATTCACTCTCGACCCATCAGGATGTGACAAGAAGCTTATGTGATGCCCAGAACGGGCGTCACCAAGAAGTTAGTTAACGTGGGCGTGATCCTCCCATCAGAGGAGGCCACGTCTCACACTCATTGGATGAGGTCCCCACGAACCGTTAGAAACATGTATAAAAGGATCTCTTCCGCCTCAAGGAAGGGGTCCATCTTCTCTCTTACGCATATTACCCTAAAGTTCTACCTCTTAGAAAACTAAATTGATTTTCAGAGTGACGTCTCGGGAGAATACCGAGACGTCCTTTAACAATTCTTCTGTGTTGTGTTCTCAGGAAAGCTTCTAGGACAGATTCATCATCCGACATCCAAACCCCTATAGAGCATGTCACAACATATATATATATATATATATATATATATATATATATATATATATATATATATATATATATATATATATATATAGATCCGGTAAGAAATTTTTTTCGACTTATTTTTTTAGCGAAAGAAACAAATGAATCAACAAATGAATCAATACTAACATGATTCACCAAAAAAAATCTCGAAAAAACATTTCGATGATTCATTTTTATGATGATTTTAATGATTTTCACTAAAATTATAATAAAAGTGAATTTTTTCTTGATTTATCTAAAAATGAATCATGAAGGTGTTTTTTTTCGGAATTTTTTCTTGTGAGTCATCCTACTTTTGAATCATCTAATGATTCATTTCATTTTTTGCTAAGAAAATATGCATATAAAAAAATTTCTTACTTTCCTACCAAAAATTTCCTTCTTATTTGATCTTGACTATATATATATATATATATATATATATATATATATATATTCTAAAACTTTTTCAAAATATGAGGTTTAGATATTAATTATTCAAAACTTTTAATTTATTAATATTAACCGGTTATGATTTATCATTATCTTTTAATTAAACAATTAATTAAATTAATTAAATCATTATGGATTAAATAATTATTTACAATTAACTAATTAATAAAATAATTAAAATTTATATATATATATATATATATATATATATATATATATATATATATATATATATATATATATTCTAAAGAGCTTTAGATATTAATTATTCAAAACTTTTAAATTATTAATATTAACAAGTTATGATTTATCATTATCTTTTAATTAAACTATTAATTAAATTAATTAAATCATTATGGATTAAATAATTATTTACAATTAACTAATTAATAAAATAATTAAAATTTAATCCAAATACTAAGCCTCCTAATTTTCGAAAATAGGTTAGGGTTATCAGGTTTTAATTGTTCAAATTTTTAGGCTTTTAAAATAACAAATAAGAAAACAATGTAAGCCCTAAAATGGACCCTTTAATTTTCGAAAATGGCTAAGCAGGCTTGGGTTTCAATACCCTAGCAAATTTCAAAAACCTAACGGTGGAGGCTAGGGTTTCAAGAACCCTAGCAAATTTCAAAAATTGCCTCCTTAGGGTTTAGTTTCTATAAACCCTAATTTTGATCTATTCAACTTTGTGAAAGATCTATGTTTATACCATTGATTTGCAACATACAATTGAGCATCCAGAACCCTAGGAGTACTCTATTATTTTCCAAATCCATAAAGGGTTTTAGGGTTTACATAACTTTTGATTATTATAGTAAATAATCAACAATTCCCTATTGACCAAGCTTCATAAAGCAAGCACTAGAAATCTCGTGCCTCTAATGGTTTGTTCCCAAACCCTAGAAATATAAGACTTTAGAGGAGAGGGTAGAGGGGAAGTAATTTCGGCTCTAAGACTCTTAGAGAAGGAGTGCCGAAAATATGAATCCTATAAGGGGTTTATATAAGTGAGTAAGGAGTCTAAGATAAGAGATGTTTCCATGGATAACCCTTAACCCTTTTCTTACTCCCCAAGGCTTCCAAGAATCCCTAGGAACCTCCTCCAAAACTGTCCACCTATGGGAAGGTGCTAGCATTCTTCAATGCTCAACTTTTGAACATTGTCACATTTAATCATTCTATTTTTAATTAATCAAATTAATCCCGAAATTAGTTTTAATTAATTTATGATTAATTATTAACTAAATAATACTATTTCTAATTAATATATTAAACTCATAATATATTAATAAATTATTTATTGCAATTTATTAATATTATAATAAATCAATAAATCATCATCTTTCTCCAAAAAGTCATTTTGTCGATTATTAGTTTTGAGAGCAACCCAAAAGGACCATGCTTTTAATTCAAATCTATACCAATTTAATTGTTCTCTTAGACACCTAATCCAATACATGCTTACCCTCGATATCACTCTTTTCATAATAGCAATCGTAATGCACACTGCTAATCTGTGGTGACGCTTCATTATCATTTATTTCTACCACCGATAAACCTTCACCCCTTCGAGGAGAAACCACATCATCGTAACTGTCTCTCACTCATCTTCTCATCCCATCTCTTTATGCTAACACATGTATCTCTATAAAAACTTGAAGCGCCGCCTTTCTTTTCCGCAAAATTCCCTGTTGATGACCAACTTGTTTCTTTTATTCTTTTCTCCTGCACCACTGTCCTTTCTTAACTCTCTCATATATTCTTCCTAAAGCCAGGCCATCACTATTTTCTAAAAACCTTGCCAATAGAGAATCCCCCCTAATGCTTTTTTCAAGATTAACTTTGAAGTAAAGAATAAATCATTTTATATTATATGTAACAAATAATTGCTGTATGTTAGTGTTATTATACATAACAATATAATTCATAGTTACGTATATTACTATGCATATAAAGGTTCATAATGTTTTTCTATTTTTTTGTACACTTGTGTCTAACTTATGATGTCAAGTTTTTATAAATAAAAGATTGAAAAGTTTAACTTAAAAGACAATTACTAGACCACTGAATCGAAAAGGGGAGTGGAAAGTAATGACAAACTTTGTAACCATAATTCAAGAAACATACCAAGAAAAAAACTAATTTATTTTTTATTTCAAGTACTATAAATGTCACCGTATACTTTTTGCAAAGTGTACAAATAATGACAAGTTAATAATCACATCAGAATTATATAATAATATTGTACAGAAACATGATGTTTGAATATTCTAATACTAATTTATATTGTTTTGAGATGATTATATTAAAATATAATATATGGAAATTCAATAATCTAGCTCATATAAATGAGTATTTTAATAATGATAACCAACTTAATTTTTTTTTCTTTGTAAAATAACCACTTTCTCCGGAATAGAGCATTCTGGACTCGGGGTATTCATTCTGGAGTTTTTGGTCAGAAATAAGAATCTCCGCTCAGTACATTTTAGAGTTCCATTCCAGAGTTAGACTGCCCGAAACAAGACTCTAAGTGTGCTTGTCTGCTTTGTACTTTGATGTGACAATTGATGGGTTTTGGTCATAAGAACATCCTATGTGCTCATACAAACCCTAATGCTTGGATCTAGGTTTCTCTATTGTACATGCAAGTTATCCAAGACTATAAACCCTAATTCTAGCATTCAAGTAATCATATTAACATGAGAATAGGTTTAAGATCATACCTTGATTGTTATGTTGCAATAACAATCCCAAATCTCCTTGTATTGACTTTAGAAAACTTAGAGTCACAAATGTCACTTCTCTAATGGTTCACAAACACCATAAGCAAGAGGATGAAGAGGAGAGAGGATGGAGGCTACCCTAAAACGTGTGAAACCCTAGAAGGATGCTTAGCCACATTTTTGGTCCTTAAGGGGTCTATATATACTGAGGCTATTAGGGTTATCTAACAAGGAAACCCTAATTTGGATGCTTAAGCCCTAAGCAACCCATAGATTCCTTTCCTTAAGGCCTTGGATGATTTCCTCATTGGCTTTCCCATAGAATTCGTCCACCCCTTAATATAAAGCAATCCATAGCCCAAATTGCAATTATCTTATAATTACAATTCTAGTCCCTTAAGTTTAATTAATCTCTTTTCGTCACAAAACTAATTACCAATTAATTATTGACTAATATTAATTAAACAATATGATTTCTCCTTTAATATATTATTCTCATAATATATTAATAAATCATATTTAATCCTTTCTCTCCATAATTCATCCTATCAAGTTGCTTTGGTGAAGGAAACCCAAAAGGACCATGCACCATCGGGTCAAGTACATACCAAAATAGTTATGGACTTAGACACTAATCCAACAGTCTCCCACTTGAATAAGTCTAATAACTAGTATGCGTATGATTTCAGATCCTGATATGTAATCGTAGCTTTCCAAAGCCGCTGTCAACCCTGATCGTATCAGATACGCGTGTCCTTTAGATAAGGGATCATATATTCCTCCATTCTAGATATCGTATAAGAAATGATTTCAAATCATTCTCTTTGTACTATTTCTCGACTTCCGATTTATGACGACTGACTAATTGAACAAATCAAATTGACCCTAGCCCGACCGAGCATTTACGTTTATCATCACTAAACCATCGAGGGGCCCAAAGATATCGCTTTTATCCTTCTTCGCATAAAAGGAACGGATAAACTTTGATACAATGCTCGCTTGCAC